TCCTTCGAGGAATCGCGCGGATCGGAGTCGCAGCCCTGGAAATGTTCGATCTGATCCCGTCGAATCGAGCTGGGCCCGGCATGAGCCGATCGGGACCCAGACCGAACCGCGGCCACGCCCTCGCTGCCCGCCAGCGCCGAGCTTCCCGAGGCGCGCGCCGAGGCGCCCAGCGCGGCGGCTGGCCCTGGTGGGCACCTCCGTTTGCCAGCGGTCTTCCGCAGCTCCTGCAAGATGGCGCCCTCGCGGACGTACCTCGTCCCAGCCGGGGACTCCACCTTGACGGTGCGGGGAGGCACGGTGAAGCAGTCTGCCTCCACCTGCCGCGGGAACACGGCCCGGATCAGGCAGGGCAGCCACTCGCGCCTGGTGTTGCTCCAGACCTCGGCGCTCTCGCCCGCGGCGAAGCCGAACACCTCCTCGGCCGTGCCGTCCTCGTCGCGGGCGGCAGGAGGAGGAGGAGGAGGAGGAGGAGGAGGAGGAGGAGGAGGAGGAGGTGGAGGAGGAGGAGGAGGTGGAGGAGGAGGAGGAGGAGGAGGAGGAGGACTGCGCTCGCCGAGGGGGGCTGGACCAAAGCGCGGATCCGAAGCGCGGCATCAGCGACGGAGGAGGAAGAGGGAGAGAGTGGCAGAGGCGAGCGGCTCGGCGAGCAGCCGCACCCTTTGGCCTCCCAGGCCCCCGAGGGCGGCGGAAGACAAAACCTGGGCCATGTGAGCTCGGTCGTCAAACGTTCCGGGGCTGCCGAGGCCTCGCCGGGCGCCAAAGAAGTACATCACAAGGTGTCGAATGACCATATCCGTCACCGTGCCTCTGGGCACAGAGTGAGCGTGTCCTCAGGTCCTTTGCCCAATCCCCTGGGCCTCAGTCCTCAGTCCTGGGGGGTCTTTTCGGGGACGGGAGCCAAACTTGCCAAATCTCTCGGGGCTTGGCGCGGTTCCCCTGGGCTCCGGCGAGTGTTCTCGCATGACTTTTCGGGACCCTCGAGGGCCCCAAGAGGCGTCCTGGACGGCCCAAGATCGCTCCAAGGCGCCCAAGATGGCCCCAAGACGGCCCAAGAGGCCACCAAGACGGCTCGAGAGCCTTCCACGAGGCCTCACCAGAGGGCCCCGAGAGGCAACATTCATGGTTTTTCCTCAAGTATTTGTTGAAGGTCTTTAGCCTTCTCACCTTTTCGAGCTCCCGACGCTCCAAGACAGCCCAAGAGGCCCCCAAGATCGCCTCAAGATGGCCAAGAGGCCCCCAAGAGGGTCCCAAGACGGCCCGAAGACAGCCCAAGGCGACGGCCCAAGAAGACTCCAAGATGGCCCCACAAGGGGCCCAAAAGAGGGAGCACGACATGAAAAACCGAGCCTTCCGCCCCAAGAGGCCCCCATGAGGCCCCGAGAGGAGTCCAGGAGGCCACAAAAGGGCCCCCAAGAGGCCCCCGAACGGCCCCTAAGAGGCGACCGAACTGCCTGCATGAGGCCCCCGAGAAACCTCCCAGGAGATCCCAACGAACATCCAACGGGCTTCATCCACACAACCCAGGCACGGTGGCGGGATGGGCCGAAAGCCTTTCGACCTGGGGCTGGCACGGAAACGGAAAGAGCGCTTCAGCAACGTGCCCGAGATGGCTTATGGCACCTTTCGCTCTTTGGAGCCTTGGTGTTAAGAACTAGTTACGTCACCGCTCTCTGTTGGGAGCCCTGGTGTCCAGAGACTTTTAAATTGCCGCCCGTTCTTGGGCCTTGGTGTCAAGAGCTTGTGGCGTCACCGCTAGTTCTTGGGAGCCTTGCTGGTAAGCGCGTGTTATGTCGCCGCTCTCTGTTGGGAGCCTTGCTGGGAAGAGCTCGTTGCGGCACCGCTCTCTGTTCAGAGTCCGCATGCCCAGAGATGCTTACGTTGCCGCTGGCTCTTGGGAGCCTTTGTGGTAAGAGCTTGTTGCGTCACCGCTCGCTCTTGGGAGCCTTGCTGGTAAGCGCGTGCTGCGTCACCGCTCTCAGTTGGAAGGCGTGCTCCAGCTCCTCCTCCTCCTCCTCCTCCTCCTCCGCTTCCTCTTCTTCTTCTTCTTCTCCTCCTCCTCCTCCTTCTCATCCTCTGCCTCCTCCTCCTCCTCCCTCTTTCTCCTCCTCCTCGTCCTCCTCCTCCTTTCCCTCCTCCTCCTACTCCTCTTCCTCCTCCTCCTCCTCTTCCTCCTCCTCCTCCTCCTCCTCCTCGTCCCTCCTCCTCCTCCTCCTCCTCCTCCCTCCTCCTCTCTCCTCTCTTCCCCCTCCTCCTCCCTCGTCCTCGTCCTTTTCCTCCACCTTCTTTTTCTCCTCCTCTTTCTCCTCTCCTCCTCCTGCTCCTACTCCTCCTCCTCCTCCTCCTCTCCTCCTCCTCCTCTCCTCTCCTCCTTCTCCTCCTCCTCCTCCTCCTCCTCCTCCTCTCCTTGCTCTCCCTCTCCTCCTCCCTTGCCTCGCCCTCCTCCCTCGTCTCCTCCTCCTCCTCCTCCTCCTCCTCCACCTCCTCTGCCTCCTCCTCCTCCTCCTCCTCCTTCTCCTCCTCCTCCTCCTCTTCCTCCTCCTCCCTCTCCTCCTGGGGCCCGCTCGGGAGCCTCTTGGGGCCCACTTGGGGCTCTCTTGGGGCCGTTTGGGGGCCGTTTGGGGGCCGTCTTGGGGCCCTCTTGGGCCGTCTAAGGGCCCTCTTGGACCGTTTTCGGCGCCTTTGCAGGGCCTCTTGGGCCGTCTTGGGACGATCTTTGAGGCCTCTTGGGCCGTTGGACCGTTTTGGTGCCCTCTTGGGCCGTTTGGAGCCCGTGGGCCGCCTCACCCGAACAAATACGAAGAAACAGGCCATGGGAGCCGCTGCACTCGAACGAATACAAAGGAAACGGGCCATTACGTCCGGTCGGCCAGGCCTCGCCCCTCCTCTGCACTCCTCCCTAGAGGGCTTCGCCCCAACTCAACGTACATCACTCGTACCTCGCTCTTTCCGTCACCTGCTTGGCACGGGGATGGAAAGCGCATGTACTTTCAGAGCGCGAGATGTCGCTGGCTTGCCCGTTCTTTCTCTCTGTCTCCCCGTCTGCAGGCTCTCTTGGGGCATCTTGGTGGCATATGCCTCTTCAGGGGGAACTAGGGCGTGTTGGTATCTTGGGAAGGCACTAGAGCGCGATAAAACACGAATTCGGATTCTGAAATTATTGTTGTTGATGATGTTGGTGATGATGATGCTGATGCTGATGCTGATGCTGATGATGATGATGATGATGATGATGCTGATTATGATTATGAGTATTATGATGATTATGATTATGATTATGATTATGATTATGATTATGATGATGATGATGATGATGATGATGATGATGATGATGATGATGATGATGATGATGATGATGATGACGACGACATACTGTCTTTTGGGAGCATCTTGGGCCTCTCCCAGGCCCTCCTTGGGCCGTCCTGTGGCTCTCTTAGGCCGTCTTGGGGCCCTTTTGGGCCGTCCTCAAGCTCTCTTGGGGCTCTCATGGGGCCGTCTGGGGGCCCTCTTGGGCCGCCTCGGGACCCCCTTGGGCCGTCTGGGGGCCCACTTGGACCGTTTTCGGCTCCTTCGGGTGGTCTCTGGGGCCGTCTTGGGACGATCGTTGGGGTCTCTTGGGCGTCTTGGGCCGTCTGGGGGCCCTCTTGGACCGTTGTGGGCCCCTTTGGTGCGCCTCTGGGGCGGTCTTGGGACGATCTTTGGGGCCTCTTGGGCCGTCGGGGCCCTTCTGGGACTGAAAAAAAGAGAACCCGAATAACATATAAAACCCTCAGAGAAATCTATGTTTTTGGCCTCCTGAGGCCCTCTCGGGGGCCCTCTTGAGGGACTCTGGAGCCGTTTCGAGGCTCTCTCGGACCGTCTGGAGGCCATCTGAACCATCTGGGGGCTCTCTTGGACCGTTCTCGGCCCCTTTGGGGGGCCACCGGGGCTGTCGTGGGACGATCTTTGGGGCCTCTTGGGCCGTCTTGGGCCCGTCTGGGGGCCCTCTTGGACAGTTTTCGGCCCCTTTGGGGCGCCTCTGGGGCCGTCTTGGGACGATCTTTGAGGCCTCTTGGGCCGTCTGGGGCCCTTCAAAGGGAGAACCCGAAAAACATGCAAAAACCATAGGGGAATCAATGTTCTTGGCCTCCTGAGGCCCTCTCGGGGGCCCTCTTGAAGGCCTCTGGAGCCGTCTCGAGACTCTCTTGGACCGTGTGGAGGCCATCTGAAGCTCTCTTGGGGCCGTCTTAGGGCCCTCTGAAACTGTTTTGGGGCCCTCTCAGGCCGTCTTGGGGCCCTCTGGCAGGTCACCAGAAAAAATACGAAGGAACAGGTCATGGGAGCCGCCCGGGAGCCGCTTCAATCGAACAAATACGAAGGACACGGGCCATTAGAACCTGGCCCGGCACAGAAACGGAAAGAGCGCTTCAGAAACAGAAGTCGAAATTACTCACACCACCGTTCGTACTGGGAGCCTTGGCGTTGAGAGCTTGTTACGTCACCCCTCGCTCTTGGGAGCCTTGGTGTTCAGAGATTGTTGCGTTGCCGCCCGTTCCTGAGCCTTGGCTGGGCCTTGGTGTCAGGAACTTGTTACGTCACCGCTCTCTGCTGGGAGCCTTGGTCTTATCAGCTTGTTTACGTCACCGTTCGCTCTTGGGAGCCTTGGTGTGAAGAGCTTTTTGCGTTACCGATCGCTCTCTATTTGGCGTCTCTGGGCCTTCTTGGGAGTCCTACTGGGGCCCTTGTCGGGCCCTTTTGGAGGCCTCTTAGGAACCTCTTGGGGGCCTCTTGGGGCTTCTTGGGGGGCTCTGGGGGCCTCCTGGGAGCTTCTTGGGGCGAAAGGCTAAACTTTTCGGTTCGTGGCCCCCCTCTTGGGGCCGTCTTGGGGCCCTCTTGGGCCGTCTTGGGCGCCTCTTGGGCCGTCTTGGCGCCTCTTGGCCCGTCTTGGGGCGGTCTTGGGGGCCTCTTGGAGCGTCTTCAACGCAGTGAAAGCCGAAAAGCCTTGTATGCTAAAAATGTACCTTTTCCCATCGGAAATCAATGATTTTCGCCTCCTGGTGGCCTCTTGGGACGCCTCTTGGGGGCCTCTTGGGGCTTCTTGGGGGGCTCTGGGGGCCTCCTGGGAGCGTCTTGGGACGAAAGGCTAGACTTTTCGGTTCGTGGTCCCCCTCTTGGGGCCGTCTTGGCGCCTTCTTGGGCCGTCTTGAGCGCCTCTTGGGCCGTCTTGGGGCCCTCTTGGGCCGTTTTGGGGGCCTCTTGGGAGCCTCTTGGGCCGTCTTGGGGCGGTCTTGGGGGCCTCTTGGGCCGTCGTCAACGCCGTGAAAACCGACAAAGCGTATATGCTAAAAATATACGCTTTCCTTTAGAAAATCTATGATTTCGGCCTCTTGGGGCCCTCTTGGGACGCCCCTTGGGCGCCTCTTGGGGGCCTCTTGGGGGCCTCTTGGGCCGTCTTGGGCGGTCTTGGGCTCTCTTGGAGCACTCTTGGGCCGTCTTGGGGGGGAACCCGAAAAACATGCAAAAACCCTAGGGAAAACCCGAAAACGGCCATTAACACGCAAATGCGCACCCTACCCCCCTCCCCTGGAACCCCTCCCTTTAGGGCTTCGCCCACACCAGAACGTCATCACTCGTACCTCGCTCTTTCCGTTACCTGGGACGCCCCCTACCTTCGCCCCCCCCACCCCCCCCTTAATGCTTCTCCCGACTGACGGATCGCGACGCTACGCGCGCTTTCCGTCATCCGCCGCCCCCTGTTGGCTTGCCACAGGCGTACCCGGCGTGCTGATTCCTTTCGCTTTTGGTTTTGGTTCTTTTCCCAAAAGAACTCCCCTTGGGGCTTCGGCCCGTCCCACCAGCCACCCGGAAATGTGCCCAAATGGTGGTTGCAAAAAGTTTTTCGGCTGCAGACGGCTCCAAGATGGCCCAAGCTGGCTTCCAAGATGCCTCCAAGATGGCCAAGATGGTCTCCAAGACGGCCTGAGAGGGTCCAAGATACTTCCGGATACGCCCAAGAAGCCCCCAAGACGGCCCAAGACTGCCCAAGAGGTGTCCAAAAGGCCTCCAAGACCGCCCAAGCGGCCTTCAAGAGGTCCTCCAGGAAGGCCCGAAGAGGCCTTCTGGAGGACCTCTTGGAGGCATTCCGTAGGCCCGAAAGGCCTACGGAATCGACATTGGTTTTGTTTGCTCCTGCCGGTGCGTCTCAAGTCTTCCGGGTCATCCAGGCCTCCTGGGGCCCCTCTTGTCCCAAAAACGTTGGAAGATGTAGATTCTGCTCCTGACGCGACCCACTGCTGCCTGCCAAAACCTCCCACGGCGCCGAAAGAGCATCACCCAAGCCCCTCTGGCCAAAATAGTCGATGTCCTTCTCTGGTGCCGCAGCACTTTCGGGCTTCCAGGGGCGTCGCAGGAACATGATCCAAATCATGCTGGACTCAAGCTGCTCTAGCCAAGCCGACTTCTTCTGGGGCCACCCGTGCTCCTCAGGGGCCCCGAAGGAGCAACGTCCAGGCCACTGCTGGGCCAGGCCTGCCCAAGCTGCATCACTTTGTGCCGACGTGGTCTCGGCCTGCTCCGGTTCCGGGCGCACCGAGATTCCTGTGAATTCTTCGGCCTCCCAAGGCGCCGGTGGAACAAAATCTGGACCACTATGGAATGACACGCTTCTTCTTATTCAAGGACCTCCCAGGCATGCTGAGATGCTAAAGCAGCAATCGCTGGTCAGCTTTGACCGAAGCTCTGCTCCTTCTCGTGCCTCCCAGCGCCGGCCATCGTCGCGACGCTGGTGACGGGCCCCCTCTTCCTCCTCCCAGTCGTCGTCCTCTTCCCGGCATCATCGTCGTCCACTTCCCTAGTCGTCGTCCTCTGCCTGTCATCGTCGCGACGCTGGTGACGGGGCCCCTCCTCCAAACTCCTGATGTGGGAGGGTCGTGCCGCAAGCGGAATCGTTCCGAGCGGACCGAGTCGGAACTGAACCGACGCCTCCCACACCCGAGTCGGAGCGAAATCAGCCACGAGCGTGCGCCGACCGAACTGGCGATAATCGATCCAACCGTCCTACGGTCGTGAACTTTGCTTAGCGTGTCGCGGCGGCGGCCCCGGAGACACGCTATGCCCTGCGAGCTGGTGGCGTGTCGCTCCGCCCCGCGGGGCGGGAAGCTGGGAACGGCAGGGAACGTTGACGCCTGCGGACTAGGAAGTGGTTGGCGCGTCGCGCCGAAGCGCGGTGGGCCAGAACCGTTGAGCAAAAGCTCCTGACCGCAGAGCCGTGCGCAGAACTGTCTCGTGTTGCCCCGCGCGGTGTCCGCTGCCGCCTGCGTTCGCGCAGGCACCGCCGCGGCGGCGCCTGCCACTGCCGAGGCCTCCTCGGACGAGGGCGCCGCGCAGCCCGCCCTGCCCTTCGCGGCGCCAGCCGCGGCCACGACGACGGCCCTCGCAGACTCGGGGGCCAAGGCCGAGCCGCACTCCGGGGTCTGCTCGGGCACCGCGGTGGTCAGCGGCTCCGCCGCGTCTGGCGCCAGTTCC